GGGGTATGTGAGGATCAAGGGGGAGTGTGAGGTTTGTGAGGGTCGGGGAGAGGGTGGGTGTGTGAGGGTTGGAGGGAAGGGGGGAATGTGAGGGTTGAGAGGAAGATGAGGGTCAGGGTGAGGGGGAATGTGGGGATCGGGGGGAGGGTGGGGAGCGTGAGGGTCAGGAATGGAAGGGGGAGCATGAGGAAGAAGAAACAAACAATAGATAGTGGGTTTTTCTTGTTCCCATCAAAAGGGTGTGGAGCTAAGGGGCAGGCAAATGGAGTTAAGGTAGAGATCAGCCATGAGCTGATTGGATGCTAGTAGAGGCTTGAAGTGCCAAATGGCCTCCTTTGTCTTCTATTCTTATGATTAGGAAATTTAAGAGGAGGTAAAAGGAAAAAGTTACCCACTAAAGCTGTCAACGAGCCAAGCTAACCTCCATTTAGAATCACACAATCCCTACAGTGTGGAAAGAGGCCATTCGGTCTATTGAGTCTGCTCCAACCCTCTGAAGAGCGTCCCACCCAAACCCGTCCTATAATCCTGCATTTACCACAGCTAGCCCACCTAGTCTGCATACCCTTGGAGAGTATGGGGCAATTTCCCATGGCCAATCCACCCTAACCTGCACATCTTTGGGCTGTGGGAAGAAACCAGAGCAAACCCATACAGACACAGGGAGAATGTGCAAACTCCACACAGACAGTTGCCCGAGGGTGGGATTGAACCCGGGTCCCCGGTACTGTGAGGCAGCAGTGCTAACCACTGAGCCATTGGGTCACCTGTAGCTCCTGTAACGTAATCCAGGGGAGTGGAATATTACAAGGAGTCCAAGACTGCTCCATCTGATGTTTGAGAAGTTGACTGTGAATTCTCAGGCTGTGGGAATGTCCAGCACTTACTGCCAATCTCCCAGTTGCCCTGGGTAGATGGACGCTGGGTGAGGTCCTGAAATAACTGACTAACTGAGGCTCCAGAGAGCCCAGTGCCTTGGTGACTGGAGACCAAGGAGAAAGACTTGGGTAAACCTGCTGGATGTTTGACCAGAGTTCGTGGTCACCAATGGTTTAAACTTAATTCACATCCCTAAGCTGGGGCTTGTGAACACATCAGAGCAGGCAGTCATACCAACCTATGTGCCTCCTGGGTATTGGGGAGAGAAACGGGTCCAGGGAGCTGCTGCCAATGCCCCCCCCACCGAATCCCGGGGTCAGATACCCTAGTGGGATTTGTGTGGCGATGACCAGCACAGGGTGGGAGTCACTGCTGCTTTCTAACTCATTCAAGAAACGCAACCATAACCAGCGAAGCCATAATTAGTTGCCCATCCCTTACGCGACCATTTCAGAGGGCAGTGGCTATGAGTCTGGAGTCACATGTAGGCCAGACCAGTAGATTTCCTTCTCTATGGTGGGGCATCTAAGACCATGTGACGTAGGAGCAGGAGTAGGCCATTCAGCCCATTCGAGTCTGTTCCATCATTCAGTGGAGATCATGGCTGATCTGATCATCCTCAAAACTCCACTTTGTCCCTTCTTCTCCCATAACCCTTGATTCCCCTTCCTGATTAAAAATGTCTATCTCAGCGTTGAATTTACTTAATGATCCAGCCTCAACAGCCCCCTATGATAAACAATTCCACAGATTCTCTCCCTTCAGAGAGAGGAAATTCCTCCTCATCTCTATCCTAACTGGATGACCCTTTATTCTGAGCTGATGCCCTCTGCTCCTGGACTCTCTGAACAAGGGGAAACACCCTTTCTGCATCCCCCCTGAGAACCCTGTCTGTTTCAATAAGGTCACCTCTCTTTCTTCTAAACTCCAATGATCACAGGCCCAACCTACTCAACCTCTCCTCATAAGGCACTCCCTCCATACCAGCCGGGTGAACCTTCTCTGGACTACCTCCAATGTCAACATGTCCTCCCTTAGGTAAGGGGCCCAAAACCGTTTATGGGATAAATTTGACACCATAACTTCACCTTCATTGAAGAGTGGCTATCGACTTGCATTGCTCATCAGATCTAAACACCACAAGCGTCCATCCTCAGGTATGAACCCATGCCATTGGTCGTTTTGTCTGGATCACATGATTACAAATCCAGTGGGTGTGCCAATACACCACTGCGATTCAAAACCAGTTCGACCCAGTATCAGGGATGGAGCGGGGAGGGAGGTGGTGGGTGGTGTTAAAGGCGGCTGTTTGAGACTCATGGCGACTGGTAAGACCAGAGCAGTGGGATAGCATGGGGAGGAGAGTGTACTGTCAGTGGGTTGCTGCTTTCTTTGTGAAATAGAAAGATGATCTTGTGTCTTTGGTTGGCTAGGAATCGGCTGTGCGTCCATCGTCATTGTCTCCCTGTTGAATGTTTACTACATCGTTATTCTGGCCTGGGGACTCTACTACCTCTTCCAGACCTTTCAGAGTGAACTACCCTGGGCAACATGCGGCCATACATGGAACACCAAGAACTGTATTGAAGACCGCCTGAGGAAAAACATCTCCCTGTGTGTGACCTGCAATGGCACCAACCTCACATCACCCGTGACAGAATTTTGGGAGTAAGGAAAGCCAGCAATTCCATTCTCGTGTCTTTTAACAAAAAACACAGTTTAGCCAAAGTCTGGCAACCAGTCACAGGCCTAGTCTCAGCCTGGCCACTCCTCCAGTTCTAATGGAAACGGTCAGCTGACACTAACTCTGGGCTCTTCAGCTTATTGACCAATGAACACTACCAAACCCACTGCTCTCGGGTCCATTGGCCTTGTGTGAGCATAGCGGGTAAAACCATTCTGCCTCCTTCTGAGAGCTAGCACAGGCTTGATGCTCTGAATGGCCTCGTTCTGATCTGTATCCATCTGTCATTGTACAACTCTGTTGAGCCAGGATAAGATCAGGCCTCTGGCATAACGTTGAAAGCTTGTTTTCGCACATAAGACTCATAATTCCATCAGACCGACCGTTCCCTCTGTCCTGCCCCCACCCTGTCAATCTCCTGATACTGTGACCGGTAGCTCCCATAGACCCCTCGTGGGCAACCTACTCCTCATTGAGATAGTCTCTGAACACAGTTACCCTTCTCCAAGCAGGAACTCGGCCAATCCCCGTCGGTTGTGAGGAAGGGCCACTCAACCCGAAATGTTAACTCTGATTTCTCTCTCCACAGATGCTGCCAGACCCGCTGAGTTTTTCCAGCATCTGCAGTTCTTTGGGGGTTTTTTTTGTTTAGTCCCCATTGGTTACCTGCTGCCACTCAGTTCCCACTTGTTCTCAGCCTCAGTTACTTCCCTCTGATCCCGGTTCACACCAACTGCTGCCAACAATCTGAGCTCACTCCCATCAGCACCCTGTACTCTCCGGTTTACTTCGGCTCTCACTCCTGTATCGCCTCATAAGTTTGACCGTGTTTTGACATTTCTCTGGGAGCTCACCGTCCCCACCCTTTTCTCTGAGACTGCCTCCTGTCTGCCGAGATCCCCCCCCAACCCAAGTCCACCGATCCCAGCCTCTTGAGCATACCCCCGTTCCCACTGCCCTGCCATTGGTTGCTGTGCCTTCAGCTGCCTGGACCCTAAGCTCAGGAATTCCCCTCCAAAACCTCTCCACCTCTTATCTTTCTTTAAGATGCTCTTTCAAACCTATCAGGCCATTGGCCAGCTGTCCTAATGTCTCCTTGCACACCTTGATGTTCAGTTGTGTCAATGAAGCTACTGTGAAGTGCCTCGGGCCATTGTACTGTGTTAAAGGTGCTATGAAAGTGCAGGTTGTTGTTGACTTCCTGTCTTGATCTGTTCAGGATTGGTCTTGCCTTTTATTCCAGCTCCTCTCCTCCTCTCGATGGTTTAGAGCCTCTACCACGTGTCATCACAATTCATGTATTAATTGGATTCTATTTCTTCAATCCTTTTCCAGCAAAGATTTACGCAATTTCCTTTTCTCTGAAACATCACTTCCTGGTATTTGCACTGGAACCTTTGAGAAGATCCTTCCCTCAGTCCCTTTGTTGGGCGTGGACAGAGTTCACATTCACTGACTCTCTCCTTTCCCTCCTCCTGCTGTTACCCAATTCACTAATATTTCCATGTATTTGCTTCTATCACTGAAAGTGGATGAGAGTTCCACAAACATCCCACTGTCTGGGTGAAGACGTTTCTCCTCACCTTGGTCCTCACTGGCCTGCCCTGTATCATTAATCAGTGACCCCTGGTTTTGGACTTCCTGGCCATTGGGAACATCCTTCCTGCATCTGCCCTGTCTCGCCCCGTTAGCATCTTAAAGGTTTCTGTGAGATTACCCCCCACTCATTCTTGTGAAATCCAGTGAATATAGTTCTAACTGATCCGGTCTCTCTTCGTACGTCAGTCCTGCCATCCCAGGAATCTGTCTGGAAAGCTCTCCCTTCATCAGCAGAACATCCTCCCTCCAATAAGGAGACTAAAACTGTACACAGTGTGGTCTCACCAACGCCTTGTATGATCGCAGCGAGACATCCCTGCTCCTGTACTCGAATCCTCTCGCTATAAAAGCCAACACTGTTTACCTTCCTCACTGCCTGCTGCACCTGCAATGCTCACTTTCAGCGACTGGTGTACAAGGACACCCAGGTCTCAATGCACCCTGCACCCCACACCCCTCCCCCCGCCCCCATTTCTCAATCTATCACCATACAGATAATAATCTGCCTTCCTGTTAGAGGAATTGATAACGGAATGGGTAGGAGTTGTGGTTCAGTGGAGTTAGCAGTTCTGTCTTGGTGAGTGGTAGGTTTGCTGTGAATATTGTCACAGCACAGCTTACAGTGTGACACAGGAACTGCATTGCTAAAGGTGCTGTCTTTCAGATATGACCTTAAACTACTGTCTGCTCAGCTGGATGGGAAAGATGCCACAGTCACAGTTTGGAGAAGGTGTGGGGTCAGTTCCCTCCCAGAGTTCTGGACAATTATTTATCAATGTCACTGAAATGTTTGCTCAGAATCACTCTGCAGTTTGCCTTCCCCACGTTGGTGTAAAATTACTTGATTAGATTTGAAGTCCCAACGTTGTGAAAAATGCTGTGTTAGTTTATTAACCATCTGTCATGCCCACACAATCTGATGCCACCCTGCTAGTGGCTGCCTGCAGCGCTGCCATTCCTGATAGACACTCTAACCAGTCTCACTGAGATAGAGCCAGGTTTTACTGAAAGCTTCAGAGTCAAGCTCTAACCTTCCCGTAGGCAATAGTACAACCCTCCTCCTGGGTAAACACAACGCCTCAGCCACATTTCTGAGGGTCCTTCTTTCAAATTTATCTTTGTGTTGTCTTTCTTTGGCTATCTCGTAAGGCTGAAATGCCTGCTCCCACACTTAATTCCTACGTTCCTATCCATTACCAGCCTGGGCTGGTGTGTAGCCCAGCACTTAGCTCTATTCAGACAGCTGCCCGAATGGTTTATTAGTGGCACCCGATGTGAGGACTCCAGTTACTGGGAGCCTTGGACTTAAGAGCACCAGTTCAATTTCGTAGATCCTTTGGTGTTGCTGGTTTTAAAGAATTCTGCTTTGAACTTCCTTCGTCAGTGAGTTTACAAAATGTGAAATTGCAGGCTATCATCCCAACCCAATCAGAGTGTAATGGAGGACATTTCCCATTTCCCAGCTTTGACCCCAATTTGTCCCATATTGGAATCACCTTGCAGCTATCTTCCCTTTGAACAAAGATCTGCAACCATCACGTTAACCTCTCCTTTGTCTTTCTAGGTCTGATGAACCAAATGTCTGTCTTCAACGTTTTCTGTTGTTAATTTACATTTTATTGTGTACTGTTACAAAAAAGTCTGGGAGTGTTAGTAACAAAGCAGAAAGGATAAGCATTGGACTGGGGAGTGGGGGGAAGGCTGAGGAAGAGACAGCTTTATTCTAACTCTGTGACATCCCTGTCCTGGGAGTGTTTGATGGGGGACAGTGTAGAGGGAGCTTTGCTCTGTATCTAACCCCGTGCTGTCCCTGTCCTGGGACTGTTTGATGGGGGAGCTTTACTTCCAGTTTCAAAGAGTACAGCAGCTTTACTGTCAGTTTAGGAGAGTAGAGAAGTTTTACTTTCAGATTAAAAGTGTAGGTGGAGCTTTACTCTATATCTAACCCTTTGGTGTATATGTCCTGGGAGTATTTGATTGGGGACAGGGTAGAGAGAGCCTTACTCTGTATCTGACCCTATGCTGTCCATGTCCTGGGAGTGTTTGATGGGGGATAGTGTAGAGGGAGCTTTACTCTGTAGTTAACCCAAAGGCCTGGGATTATTTGACAGTGGTCTTGTTGCCTGAGATTTTAACTCAGCTACTGCACTCTGAATCATTGAAACAATGGAACAAGTCACATATACATCTACGCTTAATAATTATCTGTAGCTGAGTTATTACTGTTTTAACTGCGAGGGAATATTTTGCAAATATGAGCATGGACGTTTTAAGATCACTGTGTCCAACTGTTTGTGTTTTCACTGTTATCTTGCAGTTCTTTCCCTCTGTGCCTCTTGTAAACACATGGCGGTCTCTTGTTCCCTGGGTAGAGAGCCTGCCTGAGCAGCCCAGTCAGCGGGCCTGAACACTAAACCGCGTAGATGAATGGGACACAAGCTTACTCACCCAGTTCATTGAGAGTCGTTAATAAATGCTTTCCCTTCAATTTCCGAAGCCAGTGCCAGGGGCTGTTTATTGTGATGTGGAGGTCGCAAACAGAGTAAATTGGAAGTTGTTTTAATCCAAAGGTAGCCCATGGCTGTTTTGTTTCTCAATCTTTTCTGAAAATGAATTTGTTCTGCATGCCAGCTTCCACCCTCTCCCGCCCCACCCTCCCCTCTCTGAGGAGCCTGTGGCATGCTCGTCTGCTTTCAGTGAGCATGTTAAAAACCAGCAGCACCGTCCCAATGGAACTGCAGCACATGCCTTCATTTCACATCTCTGCTTTGCTCCAGTTTTCTGGGCCCTCCGATAATATTGCTTCTGTTTTTTTTCTCTCTCCTTCCCACTCTCTTGCCCTCTCTCCTTTATTTCTCTCCCTCTCTGTCTCTTTTTCCTCCCCTCTCTGGCTGTCCCTCCATCTCTCACTCCACCTCCTTCTGTCTATGTCCTTCCTCTCTATTCCACCCTCTGTCTTTTACACTTCCCACCATCCCCCACCTTAACTTCTATTTCCATCTCTCTATTTTCCTCTTTTTGTCCGTGGCTCTATCCAAATTTCCTCTTCTCTCTTTCTCTCTCTCTCTTCCCCCCCACCCCGGCCCATCTGTCTGTCTGCTTGTCTACCTATCTATCTCTGCTTCTCACTCTGTGCCTCTCTGTCACACTCTCCACCTCCCCCTATCTTTTTCTATCTCCCCCTCTCTACCTTCCTTCCTGTCTACCTCTCTGTCATTCTCTCTCTCTCTGCCTCTCCTCCTCTCTCTATCTGTCTCTGCCTGTCTCCCCAACCCCTCTCTCTCTCGCACTCTCTCTCTCACTCTCTCTCTCTCATTCTCACTCTGTCTCTCTCTCGCTCTCCCTCTCACTTTCTCACTCTCGCTCTCTCTGTCTCACTCTCACTCTCTCTTTCTTTCTCTCTCTCTGTCTCGCTCTCACTGTCACTTTCTCACTCTCGCTCTCTCTCTCTCTCACTCTCGCTCTCTTTCTCTCACTCTCTCTCTGTCTCTCTCTCACTCTCTCTCTCACTTTCTCACTCTCGCTGTCTCTCTCTCTTTCCGTCCCCTTTGCCCCTTGTTCCCCTTGCTGTCCTTCACTTTCCCAGGCGGAACGTGTTAGGCCTGTCTTCTGGAATTGACCAGGTGGGTTCTCTGAAGTGGGAACTGGCACTCTGTCTCATGGCAGCTTGGATCATCTGCTTCTTCTGCATTTGGAAGGGTGTCCGTTCGACTGGGAAGGTGAGGCTGAGACTGTTTTGGTGACTAATTGCAGGGGCAGACCCTTTCTTTGGCGATGGGAGATGGCGGTGAGGTGGGAACATGGTAGTGAGGCCAGGAATAGGAAGATGGTACAGCTTGATACGTGGCTAAAGAGTTGGTGCAGCGGGGAGGGCCTCAGATATGTAGATCATTGGGATCCCCTCCAAGGCTCTCTTCTGAGGACCTATACAAAAAGGACAAGTTGCATCTTAACCAGAGGGGCACTTACCTCCTGGTGGGGAGGTTTGCTCGGGCACCTCCAGCTAATAAGGCACGGAACCAAAGCAGCAGGTTAGAAAGTGAGCAGAAGGTAGCAATTAATAGGATAAACAGGCAGGGCCAGTGGTGAGGGAAGGAATCATAAAAGATCAAAATGTGAGTTGAAACTTGGAGTAAATAAAGCTCGGTGTTATCAGGGATGAGTAAAGAAGGATGGAGAGTGTGGAAAGCGGAGCTCACAAGAAAATATTAAAAGAGAAAGACAAATCAGCAGAATGTATTTAAAAACCTTGTAGCTAAATGATAGTAAAATGTAGGGGATGCAGGGCAGTTTGATCTTAGAGTAGGATAATAGGTCGGCACAACGTGGTGAGCCAAAGGGCCTGTACTGTTCTATGTTCTAAATGCACACAGTTCTTTGACTGGATTTGGCACGGATAGACTGGAAGGAAGATCCATTGAGTGTATGAGGGACTGTTTCTTAGAGCAACATGTCATGGAGCCAAGCAGAGAACTGGGTACTGTAGATTTGGAATTATGTAGGGGGGAAGGATTGCTAAATGGTCTTATAGTTATAACGATCCTCTTGGAAGGAGTGACCACAACATACTAGAGTTTCAAATACAAATCGAAAGAGTGAAGACAGAGTCGAATACGAGAGTTTTAGTGTAAGGCAAAGGGACTGAAACAGACCAGAGGAAGGAGTTGTTCCAAGTGAACTGGGCAAAAATATTAAAGGGCAGGACAGTTGAAGAAATTGACAAATATTTAGGGAGGTAGTAAACAGCTCTCAATTAAAGAATATTCCTGAGAGGAAGAGGAATTGCAAGAAGGTAAAAAAAAATCATCCATGGCTTAACAAGGAATTCAAGGTTAACATCAGAGCAAAACCGAGGGCATATCAGACTGCAAAGTTAGTGGCACTCTGGAGGATTGGGAGAACTTTAAACATCAGCAAAGGGTTACTAAAAACATAATCAAAAGAGCTAAGAAGAACTATGAAAAGAAACAAGCATAAAACAAAAGCACTGATACCAAATAGTGAACTGAAGTGTTGGCCCTTTAGAGGATGAAAACAGTGAGGTAATAACGGGAAACTCAGAAATGGCAGAGGCACTAAACCAATATTCTGTCTCTGTTTTCACAGTGAAAGACAATAATTTCTTCCCAAAAACTGCAGAGGAACTTGGTGACATTACTATAACTAGGGTGGCAGTATTTGTGGGAAGACAATGGCCTAGTGGTATTATTGCTGGACTGTTAATCTAGAGACCCAGGTAATGTTCTGGGGACCTGGGTTCAAATCCCACCATGGCAGATAAAATAAAATATCTGGAATTAAGAATCTAATGATGACTGTGAATCCATTGCTGATTGTTGGGGAAAAACCCATCTGGTTCACTAATGTCCTTTAGGGAAGGGAACTACCATCCTTACCTGGTCTGGCCTACATGTGACCCACAGTGATGGGTGACTCTCAGCTGCCCTCCAAAATGGTCACACATTTGTGAAGAAGGTCACTCACCACTGCTTCCTAAAGGACAACTAAGGATGGACAATGAATGTTGAACTTCTTGGCTTCTTGTGGTACAGTGGTAGTGTCCTCACCTCTGGGCTAGTAGGCCTTGTTTATGAGCCACCAGTTGCAGAGGTGTCTAATAACATCTCAGGGCGGGTAGATTTAAAATAGCTGTCAGATATGCCTCTGATCCCATTAATGCTAACAAGGGCTAAATGTTTACAGTCAGTACGTTACTAAACAGATCCCTCGTCATTTACATTCACCCCTTGAATGGCCTAGCAGTAACTTTGAGTTTCTGGATCCTCCCCACAGCTTCCTTTTGAACCACAGTAAATAGTATCTCGTTGATATCATCAAATCTATTAATCACTTTAAACACTTCATTTAGATCACTCTTTAATCCTCTGTATTCAGGGAGATTACAAATCTAATCCATACAACCTGGCCTCATACTTTAACCCTTCCCCCACTGGGGTCATTCTCTGCTCTGCTCTCCCTCCAAGGCCTGTATCTCCTTCCTGAGGTGCAAGGCTCAGAACGGAGATAGTAGGAACTGCATATGCTGGAGAATCTGAGATAACAAGGTGTAGAACTGGATGAACACAGCAGGCCAAGCAGCATCAGGGGAGCAGGAAGGCTGACGTTTCGGGCCTAGACCCTTCTTCAGAATGGAACCCAGTTCCTCCGGTTGGGAATCTGACCCGGTCTTAGTACAACCGAAGCAAGACGTCCTCACTAATAGATGCCCATATCCGTAAGAATGTTAATACATTGGAATGAGGTCAGAGAAGGTCAATCTGACTAATACCTGGAGTAAGCTGGTCAAGACCAAAAAAAAAACCATAGGAAATAGGAACAGGAGGAGGCCATTCAGTCCCTTGAGCCTGCTGCACCATTTAATAGGATCATGGCTGATTCGACATCCCTCACGTCCATTTTTCTGTCCTCCCCCTGTAATCGTTGATTCCTCGACTGATCAAGAATCTCTATCTCAGCCTTAAATATGCACAAGGACTCTGCTCCCACAGCTTTTTAAAAAATTCATTAATAGGATGAGGCTAGGCATTTATTGCCCATCCATAATTGGGCAATTTAGAGTCAACCACATTGTGGGTCTGGAGTTACATGTAGGCCAGACCAGGTAAGGATGGCAGTTTCCTTCCCTAAAGGGCATTAGTGAACCAGATTGGTTTTTTGATAACTGACAATGGATTCACAGTCATCATTGGATTCTTAATTCCAGATATTTTTTACGGAATTGAAATTCCACCATCTGCCATGGTGGGATTTGAACCCAGGTCCCCAGAACATTATCTGGGTCTCCGGATTAACATTCCAACAATAATACCACTAGGGCATTGCCTCCCCAAGTTCTCTGTGACAAGGAGTTCCGAAGACTCTCAACCCTCTGAGAGAAGAAATTCCCCCTCATCTCAGTCTAAGAATAAGGGATAAGCCATTCAGGACTGAGATGAGGAAGAATTACTTCAACCAGAGAGTTGTGAACCTGTGGAATTCTCTCCCACAGGAAGCTGTTGGGGCTAGGTCATTAGATATATTCTGGAGAGAGCTGGACGTGGCCCTTGCAGCTGAAGGGGTACGGGGAGAGAAAGCGGGAATGGGATACTGAGACTGCATGATCAGCCATGATCATGTTGAATGGTGGTGCAGTCTCAAAGGGCCAAATGGCCTACTGCTGCCCCTATTTTCTAAGTTTCAGGCTTTCAGCTGGTGCCTCTTCGTTCTGAGGAAAGGCTAGGCAGGCTGGGCCTGCATCCTCGAGAGTTTAGAAGAGTCAGAAGTGACTTAATTGAGACATCTGGTCCTGAGAGTGATTTTGACTGGGTGCATGTTTTTCCATTTTGGGGGGGGGGGGGGGCGGGGAGTCTAGAATTAGGGGGTCACTGTTTAAAAACAAGGGATTGTCCATTTTCAAACAAAGATGAGGAAACATATTTTCTCTCTCTGAGGGTTGCTTTAGAATTCCCTTCCTCAAACGACAGCAGCTGCAGAGTCTGTAAATGTTTTTAAGGCAGAGGGAGATAGATTCCTGGAGACCAAGGTGATGAAAGATTATTGGGGTGGGGGGGTGGTATACAGGAATGTAGAGTTGAGGTTAAAATCAGATCCTCCACGATCTTTTTTGAATGCGGGAGCAGGCTGGAAGGGCCAAGTGGTCTGCTCTGGTTCCTTGTCTGTGTGTAGAATTCCAATCCCTTTCAGAAAAGGCTAACATTGCATGGGACTCCTT